CCCCCCCCCCCCCCCCCCCAATCCTGTGCCATTTTATCCCGGTCCACTTTTTCCTTCTCCCTTCTTCTCTTTCTAAATTTCGTCTTCCTATTTTATATGTTTCTTTCCATTTCCGTTCTCTGTCCTCTTCCGTGTGCTTTCTATTTTATTCTCAGGTCCATTCCATCTACATTTTCCCTTCTATAAACCGAAGTAAACATCAGAAGATGGTGTAGTCAGATGTAATAAAGATTTTACTAACAGCAGGAAATACTTCGTAAGAATAACAGGTGTTAACAAAAACAGGTCCTCTGTCTTGGGAACCAAGTCCTTAATATAGCTCAATCCGTGGAGCTGATTCATTTTTGATTCTAATTTCTAATTAGCCCGTCACTGGTTCCTGAGCCAGCTGAATCCAGTTTATAACCTCACACCCCTTATCTCCAAAATATTGTTTTTAATCTTGCATGGTCTCCCAAGATGTCGCCCCATTAGGTTTTCCGACTTAAATTTTGTAAACGTCCTGCTCATTTTATCTTAATTGATTTGGTAACTCTTAACTAGATATGGTATGGTACAAATGTTCCTCGTTATGTAATTATCTCCATTCTCATGTTGCTTCTGTATTTTATGTCTACATATTCTTCTCAAAACCCTGTTTTCGTATACCTTAAATATTTGTTCTTCCTTTGCAGGTAAAAGACCAAATACACACTCATAAACAACGGGTAAAATCTCAGATTTGCTTTTGTAAGGTCTGTAGAAAGGAGGGGAAAAAATATCCTGAACTATGTGACCGTGGTAAGCATTCCCGGAATTTAACCAAAAAAATGTTGGTGATTAGGCATACGGAATAATATTGATTCCTTAAAATCGATTGCAAATGTTGATTTCCTATCCTTTGATAACACAAGGCCTCTTCAAATAATATATGAATCAGTTTTTTATCTGTAAGAAAATATAAATTTTCTCCATTATCAAGGTAGATTGATTATAACGTATTATTCTGGGAACCGAAATTCTGTTTGTTCGTGACATGCCGCGTTATCGACTGTGAAGGTTCGTGGACTGTACATAATTTCTGCTATACTTCAAAGGATTAAATTATTTTATGTTTGCTTCAGATGGTACGCGGAGAGACTTGACAATGCCTGTGATACTGAGCTATTCAAGCAAGGAATTGACCTGATTCTGAACACACTATCTTGACATTTTTATTAATTTAAGCTAGGAAATAAGAATTCCTAGCTACGCCGCCCTGCTTTCAGCTATGGACTCACATTTAAATCCAACATATTTATATTTATAGCTCAAAATATTGCGTCAAATTGTAGGTTGAGTAATAAATAATAAATTGGAAAAGACCGGTCTCCGGGCCAAATTTTGACTCTGGGACGTCTTGTTTACGGGGTGCTGATTACTCGGAGACATTATCCGTATAATAAAAATTCTTTGCCAGATTTATTAAGTATGAATTATCTGTGTACTGCACGCCGGTTTCAAACAGACAGACACAGAAAAATGCGAAAGTTAGGTTAGAAATTAATTGTCGGTCAGTTACAGAGAAGCAACTGAATTCAATTACGAAAGTGATTTAATGACGCTGCATATTTAAAAGATAATTTGCCATTACTGCAACTATTATTACTCAATTCCTAGGCGGCTTTTCTGATATCTGTGGTTGTCTGTTAAGAGTTCGTGTATATATTGGGACATAACTGTAATTTATGTTTGTATGGATTTCACTGTATTAATTCGAAATGTGTAAAGTTTTGTAATTTATGATTTAATTTATTCATATCCTTATCTACCATCAATTAACTCCTCGTCTTTCCACAGGCGACAGACGTTCTGATGAGCTTTGCATTAGTCACGTGGCCACAAATGTTTATCACATTCAATTCATCCGTGGTTTCTTATCGAACATTTATAACGACCTCTCTCTCTTTTTAATTCTTTGCTCTCGTATTTCTAAATATAAAATGGTCTCTAAATATAATTTAAAAGTCGTTAGGGTGTGTAGGTCCACAATGAGACTTAGTAATGAATGTGAGAATTATTGCAGCTAACCTAACCACAAGAAATTACCCCAACCCTTACGAAGACTTTTCGATTTCTGAATTACTTTTCTTCCCCGCTGCACCCCTTCGCAAAGAAAGACCGGAGGCACAAAATAACTAATGAAGTCCATCAGGGTTGCCATTTCAAACCCTGAACACCCCACCTACCCCACCGTCTATTCAGCAAACCTCCCTTTTTAGAGGTTTGTCATTTGCAACTCTCGACCCAAAGACTGCTCGATATCCAACATGGCTTCCCACCGACTCCCGCTCAATCCACCTTCT